GTGCAGAACAGTTACCGTACAAAGAGGCAGGCGGCTGATTGTCTTTTTATAGATGGGTCTGACGTAGGTGTTAGGTATAAGGCTTTCTTTTTATCGTGTAGCTGGACTGCAGACTTTCTGTCCTGTTGAGTGCGGTGTGGGGTGGCTTCTCCCTGCGTGAGTTACAGCTTAAAGTGAAGACAAAGTGGGTTTGGTGGGCGGAAAGTTTTTCTGGCAAACCACACTTCCAGTGGAAGGTTTGACTGTTTCTTCCTTTTGCCTTTTTTTTTTTTTTTTTTCCTTTCTAATGTAGCCCCTAGATCTTTGCAACCCAGCTCGGACTCTGCTTCTGTCAGAGGAGCTGCTTCTTCACGAGAGCAGAAGCAGGACTATACAGGTAAGACTCTTTCCGTGCTGTCTGAGCTTTCTAAACATGCTCTTCTGCAGTCTTATATAGTAGATTGAGAAGGGAAATGTTCTATTGTGCAGTACATACATTAATACAATATTTGGAAAAACTTGTATTCAGTTTATCATAGGATGAACTAAATATCAAAACTCTTCTTGCTAGAAATCAACTTTTTTTCTTGTCTTCCTTCATGCTTACAAAGAAGAACCTGCACATGGCAAATGCGTGCCAGTCAGCCTGGCAGTTCAGGCCACCAGCAGACTCAAGAGAGAGGGAATTTAAGAATATTTTGTGCCAGGTTAGAGAACTAGACAGAGGACTCATTACAGGGGTTTTCAGAAATTTAGTTCCTGAAACAGGTCACATGTCTTGTCCAAATTCCTCTCTTTTCTTACTTCAGCTTCTTTTGTTATCCAAGGGTTGTTAAAAATCTGGGGAAACAACTAAGCTTTGGCTACATGCTGAACTTGTGTATGTGACAACTTTCAACACCCAAACTGTCAGAGTTTGGACACGTTGATTACATTTGCTGCTGGCTTCACTTGCATCCAACTGTAAAGTCTGCAAAGCCCTGGGATTTAGGACAGAGGAAGCAGCAGCTGGGAGAGCACACTCATGATGCATTGTCACTAGTGCTGGAGGAAACTGCCATTTCTTTTGGGGCATTTTCTGAGAATCTCACCACTGTACAGAATAATTTTGTTTTGAATTTAGTTGGAATGAACAGTGTGTCATCTTCACAGAGCCATAAAGGAATTTTTACTTGACTAATCTTAGTTTCTGGGCAACGCCTTTTGGGTGGCTGACAGTAGAATCCCAGAGACATGTCGTGTCGCTGGCCTGTACAAAACTGTACAAATTGTGTTAGGTTAAGTGACTCCTCTCTCTTTCTGGTTTTCAACATGTAATTCATCCCTTGCTTTGACTTGAATCGCCTTTTTTTTTTTTTTCCTTGCCAAAGTACGTGAAAAATTGCACGATCAAGTAGGAATCTTGTCACTGATTTCTAAGTAAACCCCTTCCCCTTTCTGTCCTGCTGTTCTTTGCTGCTCAGGGTCTTGTGGACACCTGCATGAATGAAGATCAGGTAAACACATGGCTGTGCAGCACAGCTGTGCTGCGATGGCTTGGAAATATGGTGGCCAGCCTGAAGTCAGGATTCTTCTCCGGGGTGATTTGGAGTTGCTTGCTCTCAGGTCAGGCTCAGAGGTCTGTGCTAGCAGCCGAGCGTGGAATAATTATGAGTAACTAATGCTGTTTGCAGCCTGGGTGGAGCATGTGTGTGTATGGGGGTGTTCATATTCAGATGGTGGAAAGCCTCAGGACAAGCATGTTTGGAAGAGGTGTGCTGCTCTGTCTCCAAATGGCCACGTTAGCAGTTTGAGAGACCCAGCTGTGGGCAGGATCAGAAGGAGAATATCTCAGGGAAAGGACTCTGTTTGCTTACGGTGCCCTAAGGATGAGCGTGAGGCTGGAAGAGGATTTCCCAGTTGGAGCTGCTGCCAGGAAAGGGCAGGATGCTGTACGCTGGCCAGGAACCTGAGACAGCGTTTGAGAATGATGGTGCCTCGAGGCCGTGATGTCTGTGTAAGCTTGGCTGAGGGGCAAGGCAAGAGGTTGGGACTAAGTGTAGTGAAAATATAGAAACAGTGAATGGGAACAAGCACGTGGCAGCATTGGAAGGCAGGAGCCTTTCCCTCCGTGTGAACCCAGGTGTGGTGCTGAGCCCTATATTGCCGGGAGCTGACAGTTGTGGGTAGCAACACCGGGACATCAGCCATGTCCCTGGGAAGGGCTTTCTTATGTTTGCAGTGTGTCACGGGGTCATTGCAGGCTTTTGCAGAGCTTCAGGAAATCAGCGCAGGTCATGCTGGAAAGCCAGAGACTCCCCTTCTCCAGCGGAGCAAGGGTGTCTGCTTTGGTCCTGATGGGCTGCGGGATAATAGAACCTAAACTTCTGAAGCCAGCAAGGCTGAAAATGGCCTGGACACCATGGAGCTTCCCCTGATGCAGAAGGGCCCTGACTTCTCTTTTTGCTGGACTTGAACCCACTCCCTCTCCAGCCTTCTCTGCTGCCCAAACAGAGGCTGTCTTGTTTCCCATCGGTCCTTCTCTTGCTCCATGTTGTTTTGCATTTTCCCACTGCTCTTCCCACCCAGCCTCTCTCAAACTGAACCTCTGCTCCTGTGGTTTGCAGGATGGTTTCTGTGTGTTATTCTGCTTTGAGTGGCTCAAGAGAGGAGGGTCCAGGTGCAAGGGCTGGAGATGGAGGTCCTGTTTCTTTTTTTTTTTCTTCTTTTTTATTTTTTTTTCCCAAAAAACCAGCATTTTTCCCCTTGGTGGTTTCCACATCAGACACTGCCTCCTCGTCACTGATGAGCAAGCTCTCTCCCATCTCCTGAAGGAGTCAACCTATCTCTCTGGAGTCTTGCCAGGATCTGTCCTTTCCCTGACCTTACCTCTGGGGCAATCCTTATTCAGGCCTTAATCACATCCTGTCTAGACTTTGTTGCAAGTCCCGCTCTTATGGTCTTCTGAAATCCCTCCAGCTTCTGGAGTGCCAGAGGAACCAGGGTGATACAGGCAATTGTGCACAAGGTGTCGAACATGGGCTTTGTCCTTGTTGGTCTGTCTCTAAGGTACCTGGAGGCAACTTTCCGAAACCCTGAGGTACCTTCACAGCGTAGGCCATGCTCACCCCCTTCTCAGCTCTCTTTTCTGCCATCTCGGCAGGGTCTGCAGATCAGGATGGTCCTCCCTTGAACTCTGAAAGTCCCCAGCTCTGCCAGGAGTCTGGCGGACGTGGACTGGCATGCCAAGTTTTTATGCCCTTCTCTACAGAGCAAGAGGCTTTTCTCCCTCATCCCAAGTGTTGCATTGTGAGTTCCTGGCACTCCTGGCCTGGGATGGGGTTGCCAGCTCCCTGTTTCAGTGAGTGGCTGAGTTTGGCCAACATAGTGGGTTGGCCAAAACCCTGCTTTCTGGCACAGATGTTTCAAGATCTTGATTTCAGCCTTTTTTAGACACTTTCATTTGGGTGAGAATACCAGAAACCTGCACTTACCTCCTCCCTCCACCACACTAGTCCCACTTACTCTGTCCCTTCCTTGCTGCTTCTTAATGTCCTTCTCTTCCTCATTTTTTACACTGTTGCCCCATCTGCACAGCCACTGCTTATGCTCATGTTTGAGGGTAGGTGCGTGACCTCTTGAGGTCTTCAGTGCCTGCCTCTGATGTTCATGGTAGAAGAATACTTGGTTCAGGTAAGCCAAGGTGAGCTAAAGCCTTCACCATGGACTCCTTTTTGGCATGTGTGTTGGCGTATCTTCATCAAAGTCTAGCTGAGCGCATAAACCCCTTCCTGGGTGTATAAATTCCTTGCCAATAATCTTGGCAGAGAAAAGTGTGTGAGGCGATAAAAGAGGGTGACTGCATTGTGGGCTAAAAGACTGCTGAGACGTCTCGGAGAACATGCATTTAATACGGACACATGCAGAAGTGAAAATCCAGGAGCAAAGGAGCAGGTCATGCTTAGAGAGTTAGGGCTGTAGCATGGAAAGCAGTGACTCAAAGACTTCAGTGTATCGCTGAAGGGTGGTCAAGTTTTCCTGACCTGTGAAGTTCATGCCCATCTCTGAAGTGCCATGCCTGTGTATGTGCACTTACCCCACCTGCGAATCCTGGACCGCTTCTCTTAGACCAGGGCTCAGCTGACTGCGGTGCTAGTGTATGAAGCTGTGGTAACTGGATTACTTTTAATCCTGTTCTCCTATTGCTCTGTGAAAACTGAGTAACTGCCAGTGCAAAGCTGTGGCCAAGAACGCTATGACTTTGAAGCATATCATCAGGGGAGCACTGAAGAGAAGGGACTGGGTGATATCACCCTGGATGTGGGAAGTCGCATCATTCTTGTTCCGAGTCCAACCGTGATGTCTGCTTCTCGGAGGATGCTGAGAATTTGGATGGTCTCACAAGAGGGCTACAAGGATAAATCAAGATCTGAAAAAACTGAGCAAGATTGAGACAGCTTCATCCATTTAACTCAACTGAATGGGGACACGTGAGCTCTACAGATACAAGCCTCATACTGGTATCGCTGGAGATTCTCTTTGGGGTTGCACCCAATTCTTCTGGGGAAGAATCCAGTACTGGTAAACAGAAAATGTGTGTGGCTCAGTCCTAGGGGTGGATACCTGGCTTAAGAGCTCCCCACCAAGGATTATAGGATTTCTCTAGCTGGCTGCAGGCAGCATTCCCTGGCCAGTGATGCAGGGAATCGTCACCGTGTTCTCCTTTGGCATCTGAAAGCTCTATCATAAAAGACTTGCCTCCGCTTCACTGCTCCCTCAGCTCCCTGTTTTGCTGGGCACGGCTATGGGTCTGTTGCTGGAGAGAGAGAGGGTGATGTCTCAGAAAGCACCCACTGGCTCAGG